GATTAACTCTGCCCAGCTTCATGGAGAGTTCAAGTAAGATAAGCATCTATACTCTAGATTGTCTTGAAGCCTATTATTTTTCCCCATTTACTCTTTAAATCACTTATTACCTCAAAATGAAATGGGTATGTCATAGTACCAACAAATCAAAATAATTTTTATTTGATTCATGCGGTCAAATTTTTTAACTTGATTTATGTGGTCACCCTACTCACATATTATTTGTTACTTGCCTATAGCAATTAGATCTCATCCAAGTATCTATTAAAGAAGAAAAGGATAATGAAAAACTCACATTGTCCAGAGACGCACATGATAAATCTGAAAGTGAAGATGTTTCTAATGATTCCTTCAGAGATGTAGTATAAAAAGTAAACACTGGGCTGGGTGCGGTAGCTCAAGCCTGTAATCCCAACACTTTGGGAAGCCAAGGCGAGTGGATCACGAGGTCATGATATCAAGACTATCCTGGCTAACATGGTGAAACCCCGTCTCTACTAAAATTACAAAAATTAGCTGGGTGTGGTGGCGTGCGCCTGTAGTCCCAGCTATTCGGGAGGCTGAAGCAGGAGAATTGCTTGAACCCGGGAGGCGGTGGTTACAGTGAGCCAAGATGGCGCCACTGCACTCTGGTCTGGCACCTGGTGATGGAGGGAGAATCTGTCTCAAAAAAAAAACAAAAATGAAAACAAAAAAAAACACTGAATTCTTAGCCTGACACTACTTCTGGCCTCTAGAAGTATGAGACGTTATAAAGAGAGAAAGAGGGGAAGAAAGAGAGAGAGAGAAAGAGAGAAGAGTGAGAAAAATGAGCATCCAGTTTTTTAACATGGGATCTGGTTTCAAAAAGGATCTAGAGAAGTTTTTCACATACACATTCTAAATATAATGACTTCCTGCCTTTAGCATCCTTCAATTTCCTCCTGCCACTATTTCATTAGATTTCATTTCTTTGAGATTTTCAATCTGAAATTTCTAATTCAGGCTTCTACTTGGTACTTCATTTGGAACCTATCAGATTCTCATCCTTCTCTCCAGTTGAACCCTCTTACTGAAATTTCTTGTGGATTTCCTCCTTATTGGTCATTCCCACCGCCAACCCCCTGGGTTCTAACATATTTGTGTTAGCACCTTAACAATCCTCCTCTACTCACTTTGTCCTTCATGTTCATCCACTTTGTGGCCTCTGAGCTCAGACCCTCCGAAGGTGAGGAAGAACCCTGGGGAACCTTTCCTTTTGTGGAACACCACCGATTTTTTAGGCTGTTTCTGCAGACTCTTTCATAGTCGCCCTTCCTGATGGATCTCTCCACCTGAATTTTCCCTCTTCCTATATGTTCTGAGACAGTTGGCAGTTTTATTCCCCTAAAATATGAATCTTGATCTTTTTTCTTCCACTTTCCCTGAACATCAAGCTCTATGTATAAATGTATATTGCTATCAATCCCTCTGTCTAATTTCTCCTCTCTGCTCCAGACAGGACAATCTCCCTTATGGACCTCTAACACATTATGTTTCTCTCCCTTTCGTGCTTCTAAAGTCTACTTTCTCCCTGCAGTAGCTTTCCTCCAACCCACATTAATCTTGATTTTCAATTCATGTTGCACTCACTGCTAATCCCACATACTACTATCATTCACTATGCTATACTACCCTGGGCTCAAATTGTGCAATAGTTAGCACTTTGTTTCATCAAAATACAATCACTGCTGTTTACTATTCTTTCATATTCTAATTGTTTTGAGCATGGGTCTTATCTCTCCAACCAGACAGTAAATTCATTATAAGAAGGGGCACTGTCTCATAATCTCTTATATCCCTTATCTCCTAATATAATGTCAAGTAATTGACTGTGACTTTTAACTCTTGCCATCCTCATTTACACTGGTTGGAAAACAACAAAAATATTTAGTAAAAGTAGTTTAATAAGATAATTGACATCAGATAGCACTCTATTATGTATCTATTTTACCAAGGCTGAATTTGGTAATGAATCTATAGTTAATATTTAATATGTTCACTAACATATGCTGCTTTTTGAACTACAATTCTAATGTTTTGTGATCCTTTCATAGTTACAATAAATTTTAGAAATCCCCCTGAGACTTCTTTCCTGAACTCCAAATTCATATATCCAACTATCTACTCAACATCTCCAGGTGGAGAACCAACTGACTTTCCCAAAACTTAGTATCTATCCTCTTCCTTCAAAAAAAAAAAAAAAAAACTAGTTCATAAACTTCCACTATCTCAATTGACCACAATTTCTATTCTCTCAGGCAAGGAGTGATCATGAATCCTCTCTTTCTCTTAAACCCCCATGTCTAATCCACCAACAGAATCAAAAAATCTCCATGGTATAACCAATTCCCATCACACTCATTGTTACCACCTTGACACAAGCCACCATCATCTCCCATCTGTATTACTGCAATAATATCCTATGTGGTCTTCCTGCTTTCACCCTTGCAAAACACTCCTCTGCTCAAAACATCTCAATGCCTTCTCATCCCACACAGAGTGAAAGCTAAAGTCCTTACAATGGCCTACTAGACTTTCATGAATTGGGACGCACTACATTTCCAACCAAATTTTCTGTTAACCCTCTCTAAGTCCCAGCTTTCTAACCACACTAGCCTTGTTCCTAAAGCATGGCAGGTACGGCCCACCACAGGGCATTTGCACAGGCCCTTTCTGATATGCTCTTCCCATAAGTATCCTAACCACTAACTCCTACCACTTTAAGACCTTGCTCAAATGTTGCCTTCTCACTGAGGCTACCTTAATGACCTAATTCTAAATTGCAACATCCCCTGCCTTAGCAATCTTTGTTCTCTTCCCTGCTCTATTTTCTTTCCATAACATTTATCACTGTGGCTAATGAGAAGGTGCCTCTCAGACATTGAACTACAGGAGCAAAATTGACCCAAGGGTCCCAGCTGTTTCACTCTGAAATCCATTCCTATGTTTGTTTCAAGGCTATGCTTCCCAGGGGCAACTCCCAACCAGTGATTGAACATGGCAAGAATGCTGACATTCCTGAGAGACACTGGACCACTCTGGTAGCTGACAACTGATTGGTCTCATCATGTGTTTTTATTCATTCATTTAGTTGACAATCCTAATAATTGCTAATATTTTTTAAGCATTTGTTATTTATTCTGCACATATTTATTGAGAACCTCTGATGTGTCGGGCACTGTGTTAGGTGTTCGGGATACACGGATGAACAAAATTTCTCCTCTCCTGGAACTTAAATTCTGGAAGACAATAAAAGATTAAGTAAACAAAATACAGTAGATGCGGAAGTGATTATGTTATTCTGAATCCTATGAGAACCCAATGCCAAGAAGGGTTAAATGTACAGAATTTTACCAGGCAAATGACTGTAAGAGAGAACATGGGAGGATAGGCAGAAAAGCCTGGGGCTGGGCATGTCTAGGAGGCCAGGTGGAAGAGAGAGGGAGGGAAAGTGGAGTGGAAACCACCTAACCTGTAGTGCAGTCCAAGGGAGATTATCAAGGCCACCAGAGCTCTGGCTTCAGGATTCCACTCAGGTCCCCCGGATCTTCCCAGCTCCTGCCTTTTCTGCCTACCACCCACATGATGATACCAATCAGTTGTTGCAACTCTGCCCCCTCCTAAACTCCCTGATCCTCTCTTCTTCTCTTGTCTTCCCCTCCACAAGCAAATTCAGGTTTTCCTCTAGCAGAAATGAGATTTGAGAGGTAAATTGTTTTTAGGAAAAGATCCAGACTAATAATTGGATGACTGCCCATTTGTTCTGGGCAGCAAATATGCAATTCCGACTGAGATATTTATCACTACAGCTCTCTTGTCTTTAATTTCAGCCAGGATGTACAAATAAACAAAATCGGGAGTTTTGAAGGTTTGATTTGTCTTTTAAGCTTAAATATCCATCCAATAGTAATCAAACTTGGCCCACATCCAAACAAACCTCCTATTCTCTGGTCTCCCATAGTATCCCTTTTGACGATGTATGAGCAAGGACAAACTATTCTCAAGTATAATTTCAGACTCTTAAAACATGGGTATCACCTTATAGTGACTGGCTTGGGATGAGGGCTCTGTGGTTGGGGAACTCCAACTGACGATGTGGGGAAACCTCAGTAGGGCCAATAAGTTTCTCCAGAAAACATTCCCACACCATTCTGCCTGAGGCTCTTACACCCAGCTGTAGTGTTCCAGGAGCTAGATGGAGAAGGAGGCTGGGGGCCCAACCCCTTCTCATAAAGACTGACTTAACCTTCAGCCTGTGCCTCACCTTGCCCTGTGTCCTTGGACAGTCCTTGATGAATGACAGTTACACAGTCAGGCAGCTGGAGTTCCAATCCTGGCTTTGCTACTTACTAGCTAGATGGCAAATTACCTCTCTGAGCCTGTTTACTCATTTTTTAAGTAGAGATTATAGCACTTATCTCTCGGCGCTTTGCAAGCACGCATTTGCCTATAGACAGAATCCAACAAATATCAGCTATTATCATTACTAATATCAAAACTGGAAATTAAACCATATGTCCAATGTTTGGGGTGTCCTTTTAACCTCTTCAGCTGAATGTTGATATGAAAGTGCTTAATAGCATTCAAACACATAATAATAAGGTAGTTGGTAATTAGGATTTACTTCAGCAAAATTTAATTAAAGAACGGGTAGGGAAAAGAAAACAGACAGAGCCAATTGTACAGCTTCCCAGCCTCTGCTTTGATCTAAGAGTCTTACTGGGCTTGCCTGCCTTTTTCTAAAGGGCGGGGGAATATCCACACAGTGCTGGGCTGCAGGCAGTTACAGAATGTCTCATCACATTTTCAAAGGCTCACTCCTTTCTCTTGCGTAACTGGTGAGGTCAAAGTGGGCACTTCCTGAAAGACAAGGGTGTCATTTCTGAACACTGTCCAAGAAAGAACTGCATTCCATAGAAATCCATGTCAAGAAGTAACAAAAGGTGGCACTTGGTATTTAAGCCACACTAAACACCTTGGTGGGCCAACTTCTTAATATAGTCACATTAACACCTTCGATTTCTCCATGACCTGAAGATGCCAAAGCTTGCAACAAATTGCTGAGCAGAGTTGGGGGTGGGGGTAGAAGGGGGAGAACAAACCAATGTAAATTTACCACTCCATGAAGTTTAAAGTAACTATAGATTGTTCTCTTATTATCTAAAGCCAATCAGTGGAAGAAAGGCAAACAAGTGACTTGGCACTTCTGCCTCAGTCAAGGTAAGGCTCTCTCCCCAGAGCTAGAGAGCAAGTTAACAAGCTTTGTACAAACACACACAGACCCACACATCCGGGGATGGCTGTGTGTTGCTAGAGCAGAGGCTGATTAAACACTCAGTGTGTTGGCTGTCTGTGCCACTCCTGGAAAATAATGAATTGGGTAAGGAACAGTTAATAAGAAAATGTGCCTTGCTAACTGTGCACATTACAACAAAGAGCTGGCAGCTCCTGAAGGAAAAGGGCTTGTGCCGCTGCCGTTCAAACTTGTCAGTCAACTCATGCCAGCAGCCTCAGCGTCTGCCTCCCCAGCACACCCTCATTACATGTGTCTGTCTGGCCTGATCTGTGCATCTGCTCAGAGACGCTCCTGACAAGTCGGGAATTTCTCCATTTCTCTACTGGCGCAAAGAGTGGATTTCTCCCTGCTTCTCTTCTGTCACCCCCGCTCCTCTCCCCCAGGAGGCTCCTTGATTTATGGTCGCTTTGGACTTGCTTCCCCGTCTGCCTGTCCTTGACTTCTAGGATGGAAGAAGCTGAGCTGGTGAAGGGAAGACTCCAGGCCATCACAGTAAGTCTGCATACAGTTACAACTCATTAAGGTGGTTGCTCAGAGGAAGGCAGACCGTGGCCGGCTGCCCCTGTCGCTGAGCCCTCGTAAGTGGAAAAACAGAACTGTCAGCCTTCATGGACACGTCTCTGTTTCTCTCTTAACCCTTATGACCCTTTGTAACTTGGGCTTCAGAACCTGAGCGCAGGGCAAATGTTCTTGATTTTCAAAAAGGTTGTGCCTGCATTTTAAACAACAATCAAAAGCTGTTAAGGGAGTGTGATTAACTATCTTTCACACTCTGGGTGCCTTAAAAATGCAGTTTTTCCTTACATGTCCATTTGACAGGCATTAGATCAACAACCAGATCTCCAACTTGGAAACTTTTTAAAGCCATGAATGCATCAAAAAGTTGGAATTTCTTTTAAAGATAGAGAGAAAAAGAAAATTTAAAAACTACCTGAAACTTTTTATTTGTAGTGTGGTAGTATGTTCCAGAAAGCCTAAGATGATTAAAATGAATGTTAGTATATGTAATTTAAGTGTTAAACAAGAGAAAAGTAGGCAAAAGCACGTATCAGATTAAGTCTAAGATATCAGTTTCCAGCAGAGTCACAAACTGAGTAAGATCCTGATAAAGGAATGCAGTGCATGCAGTGGATTTGGAAAATATTTTGTTAATACCGAGAAGAAAATTCGTGCATTTTTTATGTTTGTTCTGGGAAAAAGTCAAAGCAAGATATAAATTACTTTTCTTAAATAATCCAGCTTTAATTTTCTAAAACCCTATATTTGGCAGGAACTTGGAAATCTGTGTCACAATCATTTATCCTTAGCTACAACTTTTGATATAATTGTTTTAAGGAAATAAAAATGATCTTCGGAAAGCAATTCCCAATTTCTCAGCATTTTTTGCCACTGACATTAGGTGTAGGAAAAAAATTAGTACTTTTTAAAAACTGATGCTAGATCAGGGATTTGTTGTCGTTCTTCTTCAAATTCTCATTGCATAACTAATTATGCTAATCCTAATTTAGATTTTTTTACTAAATTGATACAATGTCTTAGTTTCACCCAGAAAACATTCAGTACATTGAAATGTCTTCTTAGCCAATGATAAGACACCAGAAGTCTATTAATAAGGCTGGCACTTTTCCATAAAACAATGCTTTGTTCAATGTCTAGCTTCTAATTCTTACTTCTTCCTCTCTTCAGAAGACCTTGGTCAGGACTGTTTGTTTTGTTTCATTCTTTTTTTGTTGTTAAACTCAGCCACCATCTCAGCTGTCCTGCTTTAAGGGACAGGGACGCGGCTCTGCTCTGTTGTTTTTGGCAGGGGCCTTTTGCATTACAGCTGTTGTCTAAAGGTTACTTTATTAGACTGCGTGAGTTGTGTGATCACAAGCTCCACTATTTCTAATGCTTAGTATCTCCTGATTAACAAACTGAAATACACAAGTAGACCCTTGTTCTGGATGTTCCTCCTTCACTTGGGACACACCCTTGCTCAAGCCCTTTTTCCCTCCCGTGCACCTTGTAACTCTTACCAAAGCTGCACGTGTTCCAAAGATGGCTGCATGTAGCTATTTCTAACACTAGGAATCTTAGTCACTGAAGGTTCCAAGTGCAAAGAGAGACAGAAAATCATCATAATGTGTTGATTGAGAAAAAAAGCCATTAAGAGAATAAGTAGGTTCCTGAATATACAGATGTATGCTTTTTTGATGATTAAAAAAATTTGGATTATTCCATCAGCCTAAATACATCCCATTAGAAAGGACTAAACAAATCTCCAAAATAAGATCACAAGTAATTCTAGCTTGGAAGTAATATACTTCTGTAAAAGTTGTAGGGAAAAAATTGGAAAAAGTTTATGGGAACAAATTTCTCATAAACCAGCCTACACCTCACCAGGCTAAATCCAGTCACATTTGTCACCACCTAGAGGAAAAGTGGAGCAGTGGTGTGTCCATGGAAACAACACATCCACTCTCCTCCCTGTTGGACGCCCTGGGACATGCCAGCTTTCCCTGCCTTCACCCTTGCTTTGCCCAGGAAGCCACCTCAGCTACTCTCTGTCTCCTTAGGAAAATAAAATTGCAGAGTATGCAGAGAGTTTGCAAGAACTATTTCATTTTTGGAAGTATTTAAGCCTCAGAATCTCCAATCTAGACTAAAACTCAGAGAATATCTTCTCATTTTAGCTTTTTCCTCCTATTTACCCACACTGAATTTTTTTTTTACATACTTCAAGAACAAAATCAGAGGGTAATCGCCCAACGCACCCAGACATAGCAACACATAAACTTCACTTTGGAAGCAAAAAAAAAAAATTCCACTCTAGAATTTATTTGATTTTTATATTAAAATTTGTTTCTCCAATTCCTCGCTATGAAATGAAATAATCTTCACAGTTGTATTTATTCTACCTGGTTTCAGGTGCCTAAAAAGTTATTATTTTCACTGCAAAGAATTGAAAAATTAAATATATATGCCTAGAATTTGACAGAACCAAGATCCAAGTGCTGTCTTTATATTTTCCCCTTAAAAAAAAAAAGAAAGAAAAGATTAAACCTATTAAGTAGGAAATTTGAGGACACTTAGGCTCTCAAATTGAAAACTAAATTACTATAGTGATGTCATTCATTTCTCATATCAGATCAGTAAATTGAATTTTAGATTAGATGTCTTCTCAAAGATTTAAAGAGAATAAGGGCAAAATTATGAAAGTACACGGAAACAATTGTTCAAGGGTAGGTGCTTCAGTTTGGGTGTACCAAATGTAGATTCTATTTTACAGTTACTCTCATGTTCTGCCGTGCACCAACTCTTCCCTTACTAAGTTAATGGTCAAAGGACCCCTTTGCCTAAACGTTCAGCCTTCAACTATAACTTAAAAACAGGGCTGCTTAAGATTAATTAAATATTATATTTGATCTTTAAAATGTCTCTTGAGGCCCTTTTCAGGTCAGCACACACTTTAACAGATAGCTGATTTTTATACAAAAGGAGAGCTAACTGGAACTCAATAGTATTTTGAAATTCACCTTTAACAATACTGGAACTGAGGATACTAATGGCTCCAGCATTCTTGAGAAGCATGAGATGAAGGACTGAAAGCATCACTAACAGAGTTAACCCTACAGAGTTCTGTCTGAAAGTGAACGTGGCCCACACTGAAGAACAGTGAAAAGGCCCAGGGGTCTCTCCCCTTAGGATGAGTAACATTCCATACACTCTTGACATCTCCTCCACAGCTAATACATTTTCTTACCTCCCTGTCCACAGCGACATTGGAAAATACCATTACAAATATGGATATGCTCACACTGGAAGACTAGATCTTAAAGTGTCTTGTGATCATAGACTCAGTTCTATTTGAAGGATGAACTCAGAGGAATTTTAAGAACTAGAATCCACTTTCAGAGAGCAGAGTCGACTGAGTAAAAGAGAGTAAGAAGAAAGCTGACATTTTGATTCTCATCCAGACTTACCTTTAACTGTAAGGAATGTGTGTTATCAACAGTCTCTCATGCCTTTATTCAATTAATGGTTATTAGGCACCTACTGTGCACCAAGCCTTGTGCATTTAAATGAAAAGAAGTGAAAATAAGGGGAATCTGAAGTGTGAGGAGTGGGGATGCGAGTGAGTTTAGGTAGAGTGATCAGGGTGGGCTTCACAAAGAGTGTGATGTTTGAGCCCAGACATGAAGGAGGTGAGTTCTGTCAAAAGTTAGACAATAACAATAATCACAAGCACAAGCACCTGCCTAGGACTGCTTCCATTTGGAAAGGAGCCATGTAAAGTCCTGGCACTGGAATTTGAGGAACACAGCCAGATTTTGCTGGCCAAAGCTGCTCATGAGCAAAAAATAAAAATAAAAAATAAGGAGCTCTCACATTTCCCCAGATCCACTCCCTACCGCTTTCCACTCCCAAATACCCAAATAAACTTTTCTTGACTTGTAAATGTAGGAATTTAAGAGGCATGGAGTTCTTTACATAAAACAGAAATCTCCAAAGTACGAAGATCAATATTAAGACAATAACATGAACACGGATGGGTTCTAGTTATTTCTTTAGCACCTGTGCCCTGTTACAGGTGTCACTGGGCACTCTACCTCATCTTGTTCCCTTTTTGTCAATATCTGGGACCTTCTAGCACTCAGTAAGACAGTTAATGACCCAAAAGCAAGACGTGCTGTGTGATTTGTGGGGCCCAAAACACAATGGAATGTGGTGGCCCTTGTTCAAAAGGTATTCAAAATTTCAAGATGGGGACAACAGAGCTTTCTAAGTGCTAGGCCCTTCTTAGCATGACGCCCTGGGTGACTTTGCAGGTCACAAACCCAAGAAGTCAGCCCTGCTTCTGTATTCCACACTGGCCATATATATTTTTCCTTATTCACTCAGTCTGAACAAACGAGAGAGTAAAAACAAGTGCGAACCAGCCTGGGTCTTTAACAAAGGTATACCTTAACATGCGTTTGGATCATTGTGTTATTTAGAGTTCTAAGGACTTCTTAAAGTACTAGTGGCCAAAGAATGCATAATGCCCCATTATTAACCAACATACCTCATGATTAAGACATAGTTATAGGAACAACTTCTAATTTGTCATGAGCTTCCAAAGACATTCACATGAAGATGGTACAAGAAGATGTAGCAATCTTCTAAATAAGGAAGTCCCATGCCAGAATATTCAACAATGAAACCACTGCACAATTTTCCACAGTGCTGTACCAAGATTACATGTTTCTTCCAGAGAGAGAATGGTTTCTTCAAACAAATGTGGTTTGCCACACTTCTTTGCCAAACATAATAGCCCACCCATAAAGGACACCATATGATGAGGTATAATAATTTTGATGGCTCATTAAGGAAACTGCTTTTGACTGTGCAACAGAATGATAATGCTACTTTCCTAGATCCCCTACTGACAAAGATCCCCGTGAACTTTCTGAACATTACTGGATGGTTCAGAGGAAGAGCTCTTCTTTGGAAAACTGTCATTAAAACAA